TACATAAGGTACTGACTGTACATGAGCAGCCCCCAGGTACTGAGGGCTGCTTTGTTTTGGCGTGATTCAATCACTGCCTCAGCTAGAACGCGCGTTGTGCTTTATATCTCAATCCTTGCCACCTAGGACATAGGCATAACATAAGGGTATTGATTCTTATACTCAACTTTATTTCATCTTCACTTCATACACTGCAGTGTTCAATAGTCACAGATCTAGTCGGTACAAGCTACAACAAATAAAGGGTTTCTATTGAGTCTAGATATTCAAATATCATATTAAATTTGCAAGATACCGAAACTTTATCTTGAATGTTATTACCTTTAATAAAAATAATAATAATAATTTTACCAACAGTGAACTGAAGTGCTTCTCACAAATAAACCTAACGAAAACATGTAACGCCATTTCAGGCTAACCCACATGTTATCACACCTTAGATATTTTTTATTATTGTTGAATTTGGCAATGTCAGGTTTATTTTATGCAATGGTTAGATAGATGGACATGTTGCTCACTTAACATTTTCATACTTACAAAATTTCTGACCCCAAAATGCCTATAGTGTGCAAACTTCATTGCAGCGAAGCACACCGCACCCATGAAAATGTAGTTCCAACTTTTAAGCTTATTCCCTTCCTTGAAAAATCCAGATCGCAATCTGTAAAATCTTTCAGTTACATGGGGTTATCATTATCTCCAGGGGGAGAGCTTTTGGGTGGGGTCATGGTCAACTCTTTAGGTCAAGGTCACCAATACCAGCTTAGCCCTAATAAAACTTGTTCAAACAAGGTATATGTTTAGGAACAATGGCAAAGACTTGTGTTCGATTCCCATGCACGGTTTGTCAACACACACACACCACAATGTATGTGATCCTAAAATCTCAGCAGAATCGGTGTACATGGTTCACCTTGACATTTTCTTAATAACAGGTCGAAATGACAAAGATATGAATTCATATTTACATAAGGATTTGTTGCTTACTATGGACCACTCTGTCTAAAAAACTCTACTCTTTTCCAAATAAGGTAAGATGAATATTTTATTACAGTAGTTTATAATTATATTCTTATAACATAACAAATGAAAAGTAAGTTATAAGTTAAGTACAATCGTTACAGATTGTACAGAATTGAAGTCATACGTTACCAAACTGCATTGTGCAAGACCGATAATGCTGAAGCTTGTTTTACTGATGGTGGCACCTTAACTTGTTCACGAGATTACAATGCCATATCCATGATTGCAGTGGAAGGTTAAAGACATGTGATATGCTTCAGATTAAAATTCAAATTGATTTCACACATGAGATAAGTCTTATGCTCTAATACTCAATGGCTTCATAACAGTGAGAAGGATCCGGTGAGCCTATGTCATAACCCATTTGTCGATTGTCATCAGTCGTCATCTGTGGTCTGTAAACATCATCTTCTCTGAAAGCACTGAATCAGAAACTTAGCATACAGTTGAGCTACAGTGCCCAAGATGTTTGAATCTGCAGGTTTTTATCTCCTTATATTAATAGAAATGGAGAAATACGAGTAACTTACAATCAAGATGAGTGCCAAATACCAAGCTATTTTTTAGAAATCTTACATTGAGATGACTTTGGAAACTTTCCAACACTCATGTAATCATCATCTCTGAAACTACTGCTCTAGTGAAACTGAAATGTAGTTCTCACTTGTCCATTCTATATTGATACCGCGCTCCAATGAACTTGGTGTGGGATGTAGAAATGGGTTCCATACATCCGCAGGTTCAGTTTCTGGAGCTCGTAACTGCTACCTATGGATTTAAAAATAAATAAATCTGTTTTCGTTCGTTCATACTATTTTGGTATATTTTCACAAAAGTTGATGCATGGATCAACAATGAAGCTAGATGAGAAAAAAGGTTGTTGTTTTATAAGGGGGGGGGGGGGGGGGGGGGGGGGGGGATTGAACTTGGATATATTTAAGGGTAACCTTCCTTTCTGCAGTCAGTATGTTTTTTTTACATCAACAAAAGGTGAATTTTGGAAAATTTTACTTTTTTACTATAATCATTGAAAACATACTCGGACTGTAGCACACCTGGTGCCTGTTAGGAATAATCCGGATTCTCTTTGCAGTTTAGTTACGGTAACCTTCATATGAGGAACAGAGTGCCAAATCTAATCAGTACTGTTATGGGCCTTTGCTTCCTGATAATTTTACTATTGAATTTGGATATAGCTTGATCTTAGAAATATTCTTTTGCTGTGACAAATGCTGGCAATAAAACTTATAAGTTTGTGCAGCTATAAAACTGTTTTAGGGTTCTTTCTGACAGTGCACAAACAAATAATTCTTTGCATTATGGTGTTCAGCTGGGTGTTCAACAATGTTCAAGGGGCAGGGAATATAGTTGACTTCTTGTTAGCTATTTGCATGCTCGGTTAACTACTTGTGGCAATGAAACTTCATCTGTAGCTGCTGGTCCTTGTGTAAAGTGTTTCTTTAGATCTTGAAATTTGTTGCTTTGTGTGATAGTTTTTATAAAAGTTCACGAAGACATTTGTCTATTTAGATCCTAAGATTTTCTACTTCAGTTGGTCACCTTCCCAGTTTTGTCGGTGATAATGCTGATGGGTTAATACCTTGGGTAAAACAGTACATTTCTTGTTTCAGGAGCTGAGAGGTAATTTGTAAGATGTTTGTTTGTTGGATGATGTTTTTTCTACCGAATTTACTTAATTGTGTTTGACACTTTTCCAGAGTTCTATTATGACATGGAAATGTTTACTTTTCAAAATAGAAAACTGTTTATTGAAAGCATCAAGAATTTCGCTTTCATCGTTGTTCAAACTACAGTCAGCGGTATAAATTGTACTGTCCAGTAGTCCTCGCCAAACTGCCCAATAGTTATCAAAAGGACTATTGGAAATTGGCCATTTTAAAGGGGGATTTGACATGTTATCATTTTAAGGACTAGTGGACTAAAAATGTCAGTTTCTACCGCTGAAAGTGTTTGTGAAAGTTTGGGTTTTGCTTAGTGAGATGAAACTTGTTCATATTCGATTTTGTAATAATGTACATTCAATCAAATACTGGCTGTTTTACCTTCCTAATAAATTGACTATTTCATTTCATCAGAACCTCTCTAAAGTACTGTCGGAAATACTGGCAAATGGTGATACAGTGATATTTCTAAAATATATGTTTATAGATTAAATGAATGGAAGATAAGGATAACCAATACAAACTTTGGTTCCAGTGGGTGTTATGAAAGGAACATATATTACATGTTCCGGGGAGAGGCCAAACAGAGCATGATTAGACCTGCTTTGTGAACTTGCATATGTTTTGTCCGGAATCATTTGATATATGGTCCTTTCTTAACACACTTTCTGGAACTGAGTGTTGGTTTTCATTTTTTATCTTCTATACATCACTGTGGGGTGGAAACATACAATGATGCAACAGTGGATCACTATCTTTTACTTCCCGTTCCAAGTATCGATCCAAACCAAATACAAAGTGAAAAATATCAATTCTTACCTTGCCAGATTCTTATTGTAATGTTTGATATATTTTTGATGAAACCAACACTATTAGAAGTGAAATTAAAAATGTCAATATGCTGTACAAATACTGGTATTAATCACTGGTGCACAAACATGACTGCATTTTGGCACAACTAGTTTTGAGTTCCAATTCTTGCACTTAGTGATTGCCTAAGTGGCCACCGCTTTATCCACAGCAATGGATAGTGAGAAAAATGTCCTTGATATTTCATTTAATGTCTTAATGTTGACTTAGAACCCTAACTGGTATCAGTAGTTTTTATGCTACCATAATTTTGAAAGTGCTTATGAAAATTTGTCAGCTATTCTTTTAAGTAATTTAGCTGAAGTATGGTATGTGGATAGCAAATACCGGTAGTTTAACATCTGACTAAAGACCTGTCATAATTTTAAAGATTTGACCTCAGGCTAACCTCTGAACATAGAATCACACCAAGATATGCAGTAAGTGTCCCTGTAATTCTTCCTCAATCTGTGAAACTGTTTGAATGGTGAAGCTGAAATTTGACAGTATCTCCCCATCCAGAAGAACACCAAAGTTTGTTCAAATGGATCAGATCTAATTTCAAATATGGCTTCTATGGTAGCCATACTGAAAATGCGAGTGCACTGGCTTTTTGCCCTAAAGAAACTATATATTGGTGTTTTCATTTTGCAACTAAAAAACTGATTCCTTAAGTATTTGTATTAAGACTAGTGTTTATGACTCAACAAATGATTTACCTACCCTTATTTTGTAAAATTAAGATGGGGAAAAATTAGACAAGTATTTGAAACACTGCAATTTTGAGCAGAGCATATATTTGTTTATTTTTAAACAAATATACATTTTACCTTATAGGGTTTGCAGTTAGATAAAAAGTTCTTTTCCTGAGTTGTGAATCTAAATCGTTAGAGTTGATGAATATGTCATTATTTGTCCAGTATGAACCAGGTGAACTACAGTGCCATTGCATTTTTTGCATTTAGATATCCTCAGGTGGACATAAGGGATGATAATCCTGGCAGAAGGACTATTGAAGACAAACTGGGCATTTCTGTGAGAAGGACTGCTGCAAACACAGATGTTGCTGCTGACAGAAGTACTGCTAAAACGGCTGAGAACAGGAATTACAGTGAAGCAGACATGAACGAGGATGATGTTCCCAATGGAGATGTTGCTGAAAACAGGAATAACAGTGAAGCAGACATGAACGAGGATGATGTTCCCAGTGGAGATGTTGCTGAAGACAAAAATGACTGTGCTGACAGTGAAGCAGACATGAACGAGGATGATGTTCCCAATGGAGATGTTGCTGAAAACAAGAATTACAGTGAAGCAGACATGAACGAGGATGATGTTCCCAAAGGAGATGTTGCTGAAGACAGTACTGACAGTGAAGCAGACATGAACGAGAATGATGTACCTGATTGAGATGTTGCTGAAGACAGAACTGACAGTGAAGCAGACATGAACGAGGATGATATTGCCGATGGAGATGTTGCTGAAGACAGTACTGACAGTGAAGCAGACATGAACAAGGATGATTTTCCCAATGGAGATGTTGCTGAAGACAAGAATCACAGTGAAGCAGACATTAACAAGGATGATGTTCCTGGCGGAGATGTTGCTGAGAACAGGAATTACAGTGAAGCAGACATGAACGAGGATGATGTTCCCAATGGAGATGTTGCTGAAGACAGAACTGACAGTGAAGCAGACATGAACGAGGATGATGTACCTGATGGAGATGTTGCTGAAAACAAGAATGACAGTGAAGCAGACATGAACAAGGATGATTTTCCCAATGGAGATGTTGCTGAAGACAGTACTGACAGTGAAGCAGACATGAACAAGGATGATATTGCCGATGGAGATGTTGCTGAAGACAGAACTGACAGTGAAGCAGACATGAACGAGGATGATGTTCCCAATGGAGATGTTGCTGAAGACAGTACTGACAGTGAAGCAGACATTAACAAGGATGATGTTCCCAATGGAGATGTTGCTGAAGACAGTACTGACAGTGAAGCAGACATTAACAAGGATGATATTGCCGATGGAGATGTTGCTGAAGACAGTACTGACAGTGAAGCAGACATTAACAAGGATGATGTTCCCAATGGAGATGTTGCTGAAGACAGTACTGACAGTGAAGCAGACATTAACAAGGATGATATTGCCGATGGAGATGTTGCTGAAGACAGAACTGACAGTGAAGCAGACATGAACAAGGATGATATTGCCGATGGAGATGTTGCTGAAGACAGAACTGACAGTGAAGCAGACATGAACGAGGATGATGTTCCCAATGGAGATGTTGCTGAAGACAGTACTGACAGTGAAGCAGACATGAACGAGGATGATGTTCCCAGTGGAGATGTTGCTGAAGACAAAAATGACTGTGCTGACAGTGAAGCAGACATGAACGAGGATGATGTTCCCAATGGAGATGTTGCTGAAAACAAGAATTACAGTGAAGCAGACATGAACGAGGATGATGTTCCCAAAGGAGATGTTGCTGAAGACAGTACTGACAGTGAAGCAGACATGAACGAGAATGATGTACCTGATTGAGATGTTGCTGAAGACAGAACTGACAGTGAAGCAGACATGAACGAGGATGATATTGCCGATGGAGATGTTGCTGAAGACAGTACTGACAGTGAAGCAGACATGAACAAGGATGATTTTCCCAATGGAGATGTTGCTGAAGACAAGAATCACAGTGAAGCAGACATTAACAAGGATGATGTTCCTGGCGGAGATGTTGCTGAGAACAGGAATTACAGTGAAGCAGACATGAACGAGGATGATGTTCCCAATGGAGATGTTGCTGAAGACAGAACTGACAGTGAAGCAGACATGAACGAGGATGATGTACCTGATGGAGATGTTGCTGAAAACAAGAATGACAGTGAAGCAGACATGAACAAGGATGATTTTCCCAATGGAGATGTTGCTGAAGACAGTACTGACAGTGAAGCAGACATGAACAAGGATGATATTGCCGATGGAGATGTTGCTGAAGACAGAACTGACAGTGAAGCAGACATGAACGAGGATGATGTTCCCAATGGAGATGTTGCTGAAGACAGTACTGACAGTGAAGCAGACATTAACAAGGATGATGTTCCCAATGGAGATGTTGCTGAAGACAGTACTGACAGTGAAGCAGACATTAACAAGGATGATATTGCCGATGGAGATGTTGCTGAAGACAGTACTGACAGTGAAGCAGACATTAACAAGGATGATATTGCCGATGGAGATGTTGCTGAAGACAGTACTGACAGTGAAGCAGACATTAACAAGGCTGATATTGCCGATGGAGATGTTGCTGAAGACAGTACTGACAGTGAAGCAGACATTAACAAGGATGATGTTCCCAATGGAGATGTTGCTGAAGACAGTACTGACAGTGAAGCAGACATTAACAAGGATGATATTGCCGATGGAGATGTTGCTGAAGACATTACTGACAGTGAAGCAGACATTAACAAGGATGATGTTCCCAATGGAGATGTTGCTGAAGACAGTACTGACAGTGAAGCAGACATTAACAAGGATGATATTGCCGATGGAGATGTTGCTGAAGACAGTACTGACAGTGAAGCAGACATTAACAAGGATGATATTGCCGATGGAGATGTTGCTGAAGACAGTACTGACAGTGAAGCAGACATTAACAAGGATGATATTGCCAATATTGACCATACAGGTGATGAAAGTACTAAAAGAAAACTTTGATAGATTCAATGTACGTATAATTTCTCCGCGCATAATCTGGTAATGGAAAGCACAAAATTTATAGCAAGATGAATATCATTTTTAAAAGTGAAGGCATTGTTGGGAATTGTTCTTTAGTAGTTCAAAATGTAAGCCATCTTTGTTTTTTTCCACTTTGAGAATGTTCTTTGGAAAAATGAGTGCATGAAAAGCGCCAAAATGATCTTCTGCACTGTTTTTATCAATATGGTATCCTGTAGAAGTCAGTTCCAGATAAGGCCGATTGAATTTTTACTGCATGGCTAGTCCCTTTTATCTGAACAGTTATTGACCCAAGAGATAGGGGATTGGAAGTTCCACACCTCTTGCATTATTTTAGTAACCTTTTATACCTTATTAACTTTTAACAGGTATTCATCATGTTCAGACTTATGAACTGATTGACGATGATAAAAGTGATGTTTTTGGAGGTAGCTGTGACAGTGGATCAGAATATGTACCAGACAGTAGTGATGATGAATCTGATTGGTCCATGGAAATTCCATTGCAAGTTACTGATCAAAGTAAAACTGGTAATTAATCAAGGATTATATTTTGCTGGTCAGTATAAGTCTTAAATGAAAGGAAAATGAAATTTATTTATCAAACATAAAGTAGTATTTAAAGCATAGATTAAATTATGTTTGAAATGTCTGTTATGTTTCCGATGTTATAATTGATCAGTGCTTGGCACGTCATCCAGGATTTCAGGGTTCCAATCCTGTGTGGGAACCTCAGCAATTTGTCTCTGGTGGAATAACATTCCACATTTAGTGAGGATAGGCGGCAGTAACACTACATTACATAATCTCACAAAGGTTGAAGTTTGTTCTTCCCCCTGAAAACTGTCCGCTGTGATTTGATTGAAATATTCTGTGCATCTCTCACAAGTCACCTCTCCCAGGTACTGGGATCTTAAATGTTTGTTTAATTATTTTAGTAAGGTTGTCATCTAGGATCGCGGTCATTTTGAAAAATGTGTGTTTGTGTCTTCCCCATTGGTTATCACGTCTAGGATACAAGGAATGTAACTCGTACTCGACATACAGTGGCACTGGGATCGAGCCAGGTATTGCTCGTTAAAAAGGGCAAGGCAGGGAACAAGACTTAAATGGGCTGGTGATATGTAATTGCCTCGGAAAGATGAAATATTGGGTGACAGTTCTAATGCGAGGCATGGCGAAATGGCTTGGGACGGGGGCGGCTTTTTTAAAGTGCCTGTAAACGCTTTCTAGTTGATTTATGAAATTAGATTTACAAACATACTTCACCTTGCTTGTTATGAAATACTCTCTACTTCAGTATCATGAAAAATCATTCTGCATTGTGACATTTATGGAATTTGTTTCTGTAGAAGAGCAGAATGCAAGAAAACCTAGTGATCCAATGAAACAGTATGACCAGGACTCTAGCATCATATCGACATCAAATGACCCTAGCATCACACCGACATCAAATGACCCTAGCATCACATCGACATCAAATGACAAAGGCAAAGGTATGTTGATGACTTCATTAAGTTTTGTAAATTTTACAATAAAGTGTATTTTTTATAATATTTATCCCATCTCACACTATGCAATTCTCATCCTTCTTTTGAAAGAGTGCCAAAACAAAGGTTTTCAGCAATTGACCTGAACACCTGCAGTATCACAATGGTCCCCAACCTGTAATCTCGGTCATGCACTGAACATGTGGTGTCCCCAGCCAGGAGGGAAAAAAACCAAATTAATCCCTTTGGTGCATAACACAAGGTGGTGATTAGAAACAGAATGAGTTGGCTGGGGAACCAAGGTGTTCAGCGTGTGTGGGTCAACCAGCAAAAAAGACATGTATGACCCAGATTGCCGGGAGGTGACCATGGTGATGCTGAGGGTGTTCAGGTGAATTGTATTTTAGAGACTGGAAACCTTTGTTTTAGCAAGTTTTCCACTTAGGATCGAAAGAAAGAAGAGAAATGCATAGTGTGAGATAGGATAAGTTGAAAAATATATGTTTACATTAACAAAGTTTTTGTTAAGTTGAAAACTTGAAAGGCTTCTTAAGCCTTCATACCTTCAGCAGCATCTGCATGAGTAAATCTTCTGAAATGCATGTCGGCTGATGAAAAGCAATGTATTACCTTAAGACTAAACAGGTCTATAATTTGAGTAAGTGTTAGCAAGAGGATGAATCTGTTATTTACAACTATCTAAAAAAGATTAACGCTATTTTTTGAGTAATGTCTATTTCTGTTTCTTTCAGTGTACATTGCAACTGCAAAAAGGAAAAATGGAAAACGGGTTTGGGATAAAAGGAATTCATGTCTCTTCTGTGGAAATCTAGTTACAAATATTTGGAGACATATGAGAAGGAATCATGCAGACAAAGCTCAGGTACAGCGAGCACTGGCTTTTGACAAAAAGACAAAATCAAGATTGAAGGAAATAGAAAAACTACGACATCTGGGAAACTTTTCTCATAATGCCAAAATCTTGGAGGTGGGTTGTGGGGAATTGTTGGTTGCGAGAATACCACCAGTCGGCACATTCTCAGAACATGAATTTGTTCCCTGCATCTTTTGCAAAGGATACTATCTTGCTGTTGACATTTGGAGACACTACAGAGAATGTAAGTTTTGTGGCGATCAAGAAGCTGCTAATGATTTGAAGCCTACATTTGCCCCAGGTCTCAAATCAAGCCGCCAGCTACAGACTTCTATCAGCTCAACAGGGCACACGGACACAATGAGAGGTGTCCTGTTCGCTAACATGAAGTTGGATGATATTGCAGTCGTTTCCAGAAATGATGACCTTGTTTCCAAAATGGCATTAGACATGATCAAATACAAAGGTGCTATTCAAACAGCATACATCAGAAACAGAATGCGGGATATGGGCAGACTCTTGATAACAATCCGAAAACAGGATGAAAAACTGAACAATATATCTATGAACGATGTACTGAGGCCAGAAATGTTTGACACTGTCATACAAGCGGTGCACAATATGTGTAAGTTCAGCTGCGAAAACACGATACGTCCTCCTGCCATGGATATTCCATCACTAGCACTCAAGATTGGGCATACTCTGAGGAAATGTGCAAACATCAAGCAAGCCCTCTGTGTCCGAAAGTCAGATGAAACAGGTGAAAAAGAAGCAGTAAATTTTCTGAAACTACTCAGCATGGAATACACTATGAAAGTGAGCTCAATAGCACTTCATTCGCTACACTGTTCTCGTCAGAGCAAACCTGAACTGCTACCGTTGACAAGTGACATTGTCAAATTCCAGTCCTTCTTGAAGAAAGAGGTCTCGGTCCAGTGTGATGAACTAGATTCCATCAGTGCGGAAAACCTTCCATCAGCTTACCAATATCTGGCGAAGGTCACAATGTGCAGAATCATGGTGTTCAACAAAAGAAGATCTGGTGAAGTTGCAAGAATATTGGAAACTGACTACACAAAGAGGAAAGAAATTCGAAAAGCTGGGATACAAGATGTCTTTGAGATGCTGTCTGCAGCTGAACAGATGCTCAGCAATAGGTGAGGTGATTCAAGGTGTACATGTCATGATGTTAGTGAAAATATGCTGTGCAAACATTCTGGGATGTTTTTCCACAGAGTGGAAATTTTAGGTTTTAGTGTTGTGCAGGAGCCACATTCCTAGGATCAACTAGACCTCCAGAGCTAATCTCCAAGACATTTTGTGTACAGTAAAAGGCATAAGGACCCATACAGTTAATTATTAGTTTCTCTGGCACTTTTTTCTGTCATTTGTGAGGAAGGGCTGTTTTTGTTTTTAGCTTTTATTAAATATTTGCAATAAAAA